GGGGGCTTTCTGGGTGGGTACGTTTGTCTGTCTGGAGCCATTGTCTGTCTGTGCTTCTGGCAAGCTGTTGCTATATTGACGGTTGGCCATCAGAGAAAGTTAAATGAATTTTCTTAATATGATTTTGCAACATTTTCTCCAGTTTAAGTGGTAAATATAAAATGACTTAATATCCTGCCCCTGCTGTGTAATACTTTCATGAAAGCATGTCAGTGAAACTAGGAGAAAAAAAGACTTCTCTGTCACTTGCAAGGCTGTGGACGATCAGAGGTGAGAGCGGAGGAACGGAGCTCGTCTGCATTTACTGCTGGCTTTCTGTTTTGGTGATGTGTATATTGTATGAATGACTTCAACTGGACAGTTGCTCATTACTGTAAAAAAAGACCAGAGACCATGTAAGCACCCCATTGTACCAACCAGCTTTGTTGCTTTGCTGTCGTCAGCAGATATCTGAAGATGTGCTTGATTTGTCATGTCGGGAGCGAAAAATCTCAAATGACACATTTGTCCCAGAGTCATTGGAAATTGGCCATATGGATCATCACAGAGAGGTTGTAAATGCGAGTAGTTAGGGAGTAATTTGAAGAAGTGCTGATCTTCGGAGCTCTACATCACAGACCAGTAGTGATGGACTTTTCTCCTGATTTCAGTATCCGTGTTGCTTAGACCATGCCCACAGCAGTCCCAGTCTCCCCAGTGGATGGGTCAGAGAGAGCTGGGATGTTTCCACCTCCCACTGATCGCAGGGAGCATGGGGAGAGGCAGTCACAAGCTGCTGGGAGCATAATTTGCTGTTAGGCTACGTGGCATCCTGTTGCCCATCAAATACAGCCTCAGCTTGGAATAAAAGGGAATGAGCGTCCAAGCTGTTGCCTGCTGGGGAGGAGGAGCTGTGAATGCATTTTGAAAGGAAAGAAAGTGAAGGAAGTATCATGCTGAAAGATTGCAGATGGGAAAAGAGGGAAGCTACATTAAAAAAAAACACACTCCAGAACCTGTTTTTTACCTGCAAAGTCATGTGCTATCAAAGTATGAATTAAAGAGCTTTTTCTAGTTTTGTCTGCTGAAAATACAGACTCGTACTTAGGTGGAGAGGGGAAAAACTGATGCATAAGCAAGCAGAATTTATCTTGCTGTACAGCTGATGTCAGTGTGGCAACCCAGTGTCAGGGAGCTGGAGCCAGAGGGTTATTTCTCACAGCGTGTAGTCCCGAGTGTGGCACTGTGGTTCAGGAGGATGGGGTGGGTCTGAGTTCCACTCCTCTGCTTGAAAGCCGTAACCAGCTCTTCTCTCCCTGCTCCCAGCCTATGCTGCAGAGCTGCTCCCATGGAAAGGAGGAGGGATCCTCCTTTCCTGACCTGTACTGCATTTGCTGGTTTTGCTTTTCCTGGCTGCCGCTTCCATATGCCGAGTTCGTGCTGGAAGTAATACAGCTAAATTGCTTCTTCTAGCTACTCGCTCTCAATTGACTCTTCTCCATGGGAAGCTTTAAATGGTGCCCACCAGACAGCACAGAGCCTGAAATCCCCGTTAACCCTGGTATTTCAAAAATGATCAAGGCAAACAGAGCTCTGATCTGTGCTTTAGGAAAGGATGCATGGTTGTAACAAGACATTACCCTAAAAATGAGAAATCAGCCGTCATAAAGTATATATTAACTTCACAAACTAAAACACATTATTTTTTGGCTGTTTTATATGCTTGGTTGTGCATGAGGAAGGGCCTGTTGTTTTTTTGTTTTTTCCACTAGTGTAACTGGTGCAATGCCACAGTGCTTTTTCAGGGGAGCTAAACACATTTTAAAATCCACATTTTTTACTTTTCTGTGATAACTTAGTTAGTTTGTGGAAGGTAAGAGGATTTATGGAAGAGGAACCAGCCTTAGTCTGCGAGTGCTGGAAACTGGCAAGAAATTGACTGCCATCCTTTACTTTCAGGCACTGTATATCTTTGCCCTCCAGGATTTACTCCCAGCAACAGGCTCTGGCTTTGCTCTCAGGTGAATTGGAGCTTTGAATTTATAGGTTTGTCCACTAATCCTTTCACTGGTGCTTTGAATCAAGGCATCTGGAAGGTGGTAGTGCATTTCTTATCAGCAGAGTGCTGATTATCGCTGATGGTAAATATCTCCTGAGTAGTCTAATCATCACAAAACTTCCGTTCAGTGTTATAGGGACCCTTGTTATTCGCTCAGATACTCTGACACAAAGCTGTTCTACCATTTATTTTACCCTGTCCACAGCATAAAATGGAGACTCTGGGATGAGACGGATGCCTTGCCTGAAAGGTGGTCACAAAAGTTGGTGGGTAGAGACAGGTACCTTCCTTCCTCCAGGTGTCTCAGCAGTGCAGGACACGAAAGGCAACAAAGAGCCCTGGTTTGTGTATGCAGCACATCCCGAGTAGCCTTGAGTTTCTTTCCTGGTCATTTCAGTATGTGTTTAAGGCAGTTATTGTGGTAACTCATTATCATACTGAAACATTGGTTAGCAGCCAATTTTCAGATCAATTTTGCAAATACAGCTCAGAGCATGCGGAGTGCCTGCTGAGCAGCCACAGCAGCAGTTAGTATAACAAAAGAAAAACAAACCAACATGGACGATGACTGGAAACATTACCATGGGAAAAAGATGTCCTTCAGTTGCCATAAAGCAAGATCATGGGAAAACAAAAGCAAACACTTAGAAACTTTTCCACCTACTACCTGTGTGTCAGTCTCTCAAATATAAAAATCTGTGATTTCTGAAGTGTGGCAGCACTGTCCTATGGCAGTTGCACCCAAGTGGAATCAGCTACCTACAAAATTGCATTACAGGTAGAGCTGCTATTTAAATGTATAAAGGAAAACAACTGAGCTCAAGCATGAAGTAGTTTTCAGCGGAAATGTCATGAGTAGCATCATTTACATTCAGCTTCCTCTTGGACTCAAAAGAGTGCTGTGCTAAACTGTTGCACTGACCCGTGGATGGACAGACTGACAGGCTCTTTGTTGCAGAGTCAAGTTAGGAAATACCAGAGCCCATGTTGTCTGTGCAACCTTCCTCTCTGCTCCCTGTGCATATGTGCCACAATAGGGGCTTTAATTCCATAATCCCTCGGTCATTTTCCAGTGGGCCCCTGCCTCCCTTGGTGTGGAGGAGGCACAATGCTGCCTTAATGAGCAGACAGTCAGTGGCTTGGCTTGTCATTATTCAGTCCGTGACCATGGACCTCACTGAAATCCCACTCTCCAAGTCCTGCTCTGAACATGCAGCGTTTTGTTTTCAGCTGTTTTACGGCTCGTTCCACAAAAGTCTCGCGGCTCTTCATGGGCACAACCCTTGCACCCTGCAGAGGGTGTTCAGTGGTTTAATACCCCCGTTTTACAGCTGGAGACCAGAAACGGCAAGAGTTTGAACATCTGCCGATCAAGTCTTGCCATCCCATGCCCATCCGCAACGCTGGAGCACAGCCCCTGAGGAGGGCTGATGTGGTTGTGAGGGCTCTACAGCTCAGCAGATCAGAGCCTGGTGCATCCAGTCAGCCAGCCAGAGAACGAGGGAGGGTAGGCATGGCCATCCCTTGCCGTGGCCCTGTGGTTTCTGGCTACGGCCCGTGCGAAGCAGAGCTCTGGTTGTATGGGAAAGGTGCTCACAGCACAACCCCTGCCCTGCACCCCTGGGCAGAGGGGTCTACAAGCCAGGGCCCCGGCCTGCATGGATGGGGCATGGCCTGACGCCAGCAGGGTGTCCTGGGGTGGCACAGCTTAGGAAAGCGGTTGCCTTGGCAAGGTTTTTACATCACCCGCCAAAATTTCTCTCCTGTACCTGCACAGGTGCCTTTTCTGACTGTTAGGGTAGGCTGCTAGAGAGAATCTGGGTGTTTTTTGTTGTTTTTCTTTACTATTCTCGATTCTTAATAAAGTATTCAGTTTTTCACTTAAAACGCATCTTGAGCATGAGTAGATGGGCAGAAGCAGCAGCTCAGGTGGAACCGGTACAGGCAAACCCCGCTCTCGGGGTGGGGGAGTTTCTCCTGTTCAGCTCTGGGAAACACAGGCCCTTGAGCTCTGCAGCTTGTGACCGCTACTGCAGTCAGGGTTTTCTACCAGGTGTGAAATTGTGATGAAATGCTCTTTTTTTATTAAAGCATACAACTCCCCTCCCCCAGCTAATCTCCAAGAAAAGTCAACCTGCAGTCGTGTTGGGCTGTGAGAAGTTGGATTGCTGACTATCTTACTACAAGTTTTAATAATGGTCTAAAACTAAAACAAGACACTTTTATTTTAGATGTATTTTGCCCTTCAAACAGCTTCACAGATTTTTCCTGCTATCCCTTTTACCTTGGAGCTGCCCTTAAAACTCTGTAGACTCAGTGCATAATTCTCTTTTGATTTGGTCCTCCTCGCTCAGCATCCCTAGTGGTGCCCACAAAGGCTTCAGACAGCAGCTTGGCTGTGGGTAGCTGGTGACCTGAGTTGCTCATAGCTTTCAGTTCACTTTGGCCTTCTCCTGTACTTGTGTGGTACACATAGTGTCTGGCACATGAGAACCCTGCTCTACTGTGGTGCAGATGATTACTGTTAGTGTATTTTGTTCTGTCTTAGGGTTTTGTGATGGAGAAATAAGGAAGAGCGATGCCTTAGTGTCTTTGTTTAGTTGGATGGGTTTCTTTTTTCCATAGCTTTGATACCATCACAAGATTTGTGAAGGAACCGTAACGTGCTTTGGTTGTAGGATGAGCTGCATCAGCCACCTCGGGGTTCAAAGCTTTTCAGACCAGAAGTTGGAGGCAGGAGGAGAAGGGCTGTGAACAGGCAAGTGTGAAAATTCACATACTGTCCGTGTTAGCCCTAGGATGCTCTGGTTTTCTACATTTTTTTTTTTTTTTTTTAATACAAAAGGAATTTTACATAAGAACAATCATGTATATTATAAAATGGACAAGCCTGGCTTCAGATGGTACTGACAATAATTGAAAAGCCTCTCATTTTCACATAGTAATGGTGGTTTTGTTGCAGATTGATGTCCTCAAGGCAGATGTGGAGAGCGCTGAGTGGAAAATTTTGGAAAACCTCATACTGGAAGATGTTGTTGAGCAGATAGGACAGCTGGTCTTTGAGGTGCACATCCACTGGCCTGGGTTTGAAGTCAGCGGCAATGACAGCACCGTGGTGCGGTACTGGTACAGTCTGCTCCGAGAACTGGAGCTGAAGGACTTCAGGCTTTTCCATACCTACAAAGACTTATCAAAACCACAGATGTTTCTGAAAAAGGAAGCCTTCAATGCTAGTAGCTGTTACACACTGAGCTGGGTAAATACAAGATGGAAATAACAGAAAGGAATTTATGATGTGTGACTGAGAGCCATCTCGCCCCGTAGCGTTATTGAAGAGGACTTTGGCATCCCTGGCTAAAGTTGCTAAATATGCACAGCGTGACTGCTAACAAAATGGACTGGCTTTTATACATTATCAAAAAAACTGGCAGTAGTAGAAGATACATGATGCAAATTTTTTATAGCAATCTCTTTGCCAGCGGGTACACTGTCTCAGAGGACAGAGGTTTCTGTAAAGGTTTGTCTGGGGGGGCTAGCAGCACGGCTTTCCCTGGCTGCCCTGTGCCTGAGCATGCCGGCACGGAGGGCATCCCTCTGGGGCTGCCCCAGGAGGCTCCGCTCACTGAGCCACGCCAGCCCTTCGGCCCGAGAGTGCTCGTGAGGAGGTGCCTTTCTCAGGAAGGGTCAAGTGTCACTTTTCTGTAAAGCTATCATCTTTGATTTGCACCTTCTTTACTTTGGCCTTGCTTCCTGTGGAACAAATTTTAGGCAAGAACAGTTATGTTCTTGAACCCACTGGCAAATTTCAGCTGAATTCGGCAGAGGCAGAAATCGCCACCAAACTAAATTCCCGCCTGTTTAGTTGAGCGGCTTCTGAGTGCTCTGACTGTGGCTCTTTAAGGCAGTCTGGCTGCAGGATGTGAGTTCAGAGCTTCTGACACAGGAGATGGTGGGACAGAGAGACTCAGCTGCTGGAAAAGCTGCCACCAGCGCTCCCCTCCTCACCCTGCAGCGGCTTCAGCCACGGAAGACAGGGCTTCCCTAGTTCATCTGCTGAAAGAATGGCTTGTTTTAAATTCCTCTTGCAGTGGTTGTAGCAAATGTTTTTTTTTTGTCTAGGGAGGTACTTAATCTAAAGGAGCTGAAAGTGAAACCTGGTCTTTTTCGTTTGTTTGGTTTGAGGTTTAGTTGCAGGTTTTGCTGCACCTGGAGGCCGGCTCCCTCCTCAGCACCTGGCTGGCCCGGCTGCCTCTCCCTGGCACGAGGAGGCCGGGCCCTGTCTCCGCTCCGGGGCTGGCAGAACCGCTGGCACAGGCGGGTGCCTGGGCTCTACAGGCCGGCCTGTGGGCTGTCTGCAGTGCACCCCCAGAATGGCGGGAGGTAAAAAATATATATACCAGGTTGCGTTTTTTCTTCTAATCAAAAGAATTTAGACATTGAACTTTGTTATTAAAATACAAGATGACACCACTTCAGTGTCTTTAATATATGGCCTTTGTAACTGCCTTTGGTTTTGGACTTTTGCAGGGCTCAGTGTTCCTCCCCTTGGCGTGCCTCAGCCCAGCACTGTGTTTTTAAGAAGTCTCTCTTCCCCTGTCCCCATGTTGTTCCTTCTCTTGTAATCCTGGCATTTCCTTCTCTCCTTTCCTACCCTCCTTTCCTTTTTCAGCCTTTCTTGCTGCCCCAGCTCCCTCATCCCCTTCTTCCCAGAGCAGGGCCCTGCGCCGGATCCAGTATACTCACAGGATCTCAGGAAGCAGCCAGAGGCGGGGAAAATAAGCATAGGAGCTCTTCCTTGCAGGCAGGTGAGTCAGCCTTCTCCCAGAGCCACTGCTTTGCCTCACCAGTGGATCGAGCCATTCCCCTCACCTTCCCCAGGCTTCACACCCAGCCAGGCATCCACTTTCCTCCTCTCCCACCTCTCTGAGGGCTCCCACTGCTTCAGGGTGGGCAGGGACCACTCTCCCCAGCAGAAACTGCTTCAGCCCTTCAGCTCAGCTCCCTTTCTCACAGGAAAGGCCAGCAAGTGAGTGACCCTGCCAGGGTGACAGCCTTCCTCCCACCACCTTTGCTCTGGGGCTGCAGGGAGCAGCCTGCCCTGGCCCCAGCACCCACCTACCGCCTGGACCTGCAGAGCCTGTTGTGAGGCTTGAAACTGCTGCAGCTAATTCGACTTCGGGCATCCGTGTTGGCCACAGAGGCCACAGACCTTGGGCTGCTTCGGAAGACGGAGAAAATCCCCCCTCCCTGCTTCAGTGGTGAAGGACTATGGTGGTGAGGGGCTAGTGGAAATGGAGGGGATTTTAATCTCTTCAGTGAAAGCCAGCTCTGTGCTCTCGTGCACTCTGGTTTGTATCAGTCTTCCTAGTCACATTTGAAATTTTGACTTCTGGCTAAATGTCAAACCCTTTCTTTTGTAACAAATGCATGCTGGTTTTCAATCTACTGCCTTTCGGTCACACTGACAGTGCCTTGTGTTGTATGGAGTCTGCCTCCCCATTTTAATTTTCCTTTTATAAAGAAACCCATGTACTTCTTTAGTTACACTAGGATTTGCTTAAGTGGAGCATAATTCTAAGGGGACTTAACATGGGCTTCTGCACATCAGATACCTCATTTAGGGAAGAAGGAAGATGGTGCAGCCAGACCAGGACTGCTGACCAGATGATGAGCCCAGCTATGCCTGTTCTAGTAAAATAGGCAGGGTCAGGGAGTGTGCTCAGGAATGGCTATCTACCTGATTAATTAATGAGATCCCTGGCATGATTTTGGCTCAGGCCATCATCTCCCAGATGATATCTAGGCACAGCCATAGAGTAGGCCTATGCCAAGGACATCTTGAATGCAGCAAATTTGTTGGGAAGCTGAAAGAGTTAAGTAAATGGACATGGCCAGGCCATCTTTGCCAGTTTGCCTCAAGGCTGGGGAATACCTCCTGGTACCGTTTTGTTTTCTGATATAATTTAACAAGAACAAGTGCCAGATTCTCCTCCTGGGACGGGGTAATCCTGGTTATACATACAAACTGGGTATGGGAGGCTGGAGAACGGCCCCTCAGAAAGAGAACTGGAGGTTTGGGTCGATAGCAAGTTGAGTATGAGACAACAGTGTGCTGTGACAGCCAAAGGGCCAATCATGTCCTGGGGTGCATCCAGCACAGCATCGCTGGCTGGTCAGGGGAGGTGATTGTGCAGTCTACAGTGAACTGGTGGGGCCCCAGCTTGAGTACTGTGTGCACTTTTGGGTGCCTCAGTGTAAGAAGGACATCAAATTATTTGAGTGTGTCCAGAGGTGAGTGACCAAGGGGGTGCAAGGTCTCAAGGGCAAGACTTACGAGGAGCGGCTGAGGTCGCTTGACTTGTTCATCTTGGAGAAGGCAAGGCTGAGGGGTGACCTCATCACAGTCTAGAACTTTCTCAAGGGAGGCGGTGGGGGGGGGGGGGGGGGGAGGTGCTGATCTCCTCTCTCTGATGACCAGCAACAGGACTTGAGGAAATGGAGTGAAGCTGTGGCAGGGGAAGTTCAGATTGGACATTAGAAAAAGGACATTAGGAAACCACTGAGGAGGGTGGTTGGTCTCCAGGGAAGTGGTCACGGCACCAAGCCTGCAAGAGTTCACTCAAGGAGCATCTGGACAGTGCTCTTAGTCCTATGGTTTAGTGTTAGGTAGACCTGTGAGGAGCAGGGAGTTGGACTCAGTGATGCTTATTTGGTCCCTTCCAACTTAAGATTCTGTGATTCTATAAATGTAGCTTCTGTTTCTGCCCCTGCACATCGCACCTGAACCAGGGTGCAAGGGGCTTTGCAGTCACTCAGACCAGGGCACTGTGGGGGCCCACCTTGTCCTCAGCTCTGCAGTGCTCAAAATCAAGATGACTATTGCAGATGTGTTTGATTTCCTTGTGTCCAAGAGGTTGAACAAAGCATTTTCCTTGAGGCCAAGCTACAAGAGGGTGCCAGGATTTCCTAAACCAGCATCTAGCTTGTTGGAGTGATCATGCTTGCTGCACCGCAGAATGGCTGAACTCCCATTTTTCAAATAATGGGGTGGCAAAAGCCCAGCTGCAAGTCCTGATCTATTAATAAAGCATAAAAATATGGGCTCTAGCACTGCACAGGTTTTTCCTCCTGATTAGCCTTAAAGTAGCCTAGTAGCTTATTATCATTTGTTTAAGAAACCAATAGATAGAGGTTACAAAACAAATTGCATGATTTCTCTCAGGTGTTCAAATTCCGAAGAGATGCACATCTTGCATCATATATTGCCCTGAAGAAAATATGTTAATGTATATGTAAATTATAGAAATAGAGTAGCGGTCCATCCTGGTTCTTACTTGGTTAAGAGTTTAGTAAACCCTCATCTAATCTCTTGCTCATGATTGCCAGGTAGTGTCAGGAACAATTCAGGCTGTGACAAATATATCTTCTGCAAGAAAAGATTCCAATAACTATGGTAATTTTTAAGGAAACCTTCTCTCAGATACAGGATAGATAAAAGCCATTTATCATTCTGGAGGCAGTTATGTGATATTATGGGAGAAAATGAACAGCTCATTTTATGCACTAACCGTGCCTTTCTACTTCATATCTCTTAAAGCAGAATCACAGCCTTCCTTTCTGAGGTCTTGCTTTTGTGCCCTTACCCCTTCTCTTTTCCTGATCTCTTTTACCTAAACAAGAGACTCTTAAGTGAATTCAGTTCCCATCTCCTAAAGACTGAGCCACCGGGTATGTGCACAGGGGCACGAGCCAGCGCAAACACAACCTGTGTTTGAGCCTGCCTTACCCCTGTGTAGGGTGGCTCCTTGCAGGGAGTGTTGCACTGCCCAGGAGCAGCTCTGGAGGAGAGCTGGCTGTTGGGAGAGACCGTGAAGCAGGTGAGGAGCTTCTTGAGGTGATCCCCCTGCAGGGAGCCCTGCAGTTACCGCATGCCAGCGTTGTACTCCACATGTCTTCCCAGATCAGACCTGCACAGGAACTGTGGTAGCTGCCCCCTTCTTCAAGGTCGAAGTACAGAGCACACCATTAAAACCACTGTGGGCAGGGCATTCTCCCATTTTTGCCATAGCCTGGTAGACCAGTAACTGTGTGGCCATGCCCAGGCAGGAGGAAAGGGCCTGTCCTGGCATTGCTAAAATATTCCTGAGTGCCTGGTCTGGGTAGCATCCAGCATCTCCTGCAGAGAATGCAGTAGAGCCTATTTTTCCCCCTGGTCTGTCTGAGAGAGAGACGTGGCTGTTCAGAGACCCGCTGTGGGGTCTTGCCCTTGGCAGCAGACTTCAAACTCCTGGCAGGAGCAGCACAGGAAGGTGCCCAGATCAAATCAGGGCAGAGCAGGAGCACAAGGGCCAAATCGTCCCAAGTCATCAGGTGGCACCTGGCCAACGTGTGTCTCCAGACTGGCCTTCCAGCAACGTGCTCAGCAATGCGTTTGCACAGTTCATTGCAAAAAAGTGGCATGTCCCCTTTCCTAAGCCATATATCCATACTGGGCCATACCTTCGGCGGCCCCGGATCTGTTCAGCATCACTGTTACAGGTATTGCCCAGCTCCACTTTCCCCCCAGGTGCATTGGGCATCTCCCTGCATTCCCTGCAGGTGTCTGCTTTGGCTCCCCAGACCAGCCAGCCCATTGCCTCTAGCCTGGTGCCAGCTGAAACCCAGCCCTGGAGCCTCCTTGCTGCACACCTCAGGCCACTCACGGTGGCCACAGCCAGTGCCAACCCCAGCTAACAAGGGTGTGATGAGCAGGTTCCTGAAGTGGCATCATTATTGCATTAGTTGGCCACCTCCACCAGGAGATGTTTCAGCTCGGTCTAAAATGGATCTTTGAATAGATGAACTGTGTGTAGTGGCAGTTTTATTTGCACAGACCCTTCTGTGGGGGTGAGGGCATCTCCCCTTCAGAGAGGCCCACAGTGATTTATAAATCACACGCGTTTGTGAATCAGAATTTACAGGTGCTGCCCATGACTTGGTGAAGATGAAGAGCAGCAACAGATGTGAATCCCCCAAACTATCACAGTTAATACTGCAACATGGGCTTTCCCTAGCGAGCCCACAGCAGCACAGAGTGGGATGTGTTAGGACACTAATGCACCTCTCCAGGGAAACTGGTCCCTTTCTGAATGGCACGCTGGTCTCCTTGGAGGTTCCAAAATTTGACCAAAGGCAGGCCTGACCTCCTGCCGCACTCCAAAACCTGATGTTTATCACATCCACTTTTGGCCCCAGGCTTTGATCCCATTGGTGACTTGTGAGGGGTTGTTCTTCACGAGCACCTCTCAACTGTGAAAGACCAAAGAAAGCGTAAAGGAAACGTGTCTGGCCTTTCTTGGCAGATGCCAAAAAGACGTATCACCTGGTAGTACACCTGAAGAAATAGCACTTATTTTCTCTGGTGAATTAGTCAACAGCCGAGACCATCTGGTTCATTCAAAAACTTTCATTTCGTGAGCTTTATTAGCTGCTCCCTTGCCCTTGAAAGGATCCTCGGGGTTATTCAGCCAAAAATCACTCTTGATTTCTTCCTGCTTGTTAACACAATGTGTCAGTCAGTAGAAACCTGGTGTAGTGCTGGTGGAAGTTCAGAGCTGACCTACATTCAGAGACATATTTATACTTGCCTCCCTTCACTGGCTTTCAGGGGCAGAGCAAGCCCAGCGCTTGAAGGGAACCGCCTGTGATAATGAACGGATCTCTTCCCTTAAATAGAACTCCCTGTTCACTGTGTAGTTTGACCTGCCTGTTGCAAAGAGTTTCAGCTGGTTCAGAAAGAGACCTTTGCAGAGACAGCCCTTAATACCTCCCTTATTCTGATGGCAGGACGTTACACAAGGGGAGATCAGGAGCCTGCTTTGTGCTGCCTAGAAATGACGACTCCAGTGTGAATACCAATGTGACATCCCTGCTCTTTCTGGTGGATTACGACCATACATGTTTGGTTTTGAGCAGTTTCCTGAAAGAAAGTTTAGTGGTGTACACAGTACAAAATTTCTGCAAGTAATTAAAATGCTCCTGTGCCTCAGCTGGTATTCCCTCCCTGCCCCCCCCCCTATATTTGAAATTCCATTTCTGAATCAAACCCAAACAATGTGAATCCCACCCTTTCATCCATCTTCAGAGTTCTAGAGTGGAGCCACCACCCTGGGTGTCACCACCCTCGCAAGGAGGTGGGGACAGCAGCCTGACCAGTGTCAGACCTCTAATGCAGCCGCAGCCGCAGCAGCAGCGGCCGCTGTGCCCCGGGACTGCCTGTGTCTCTCTGCTGCTACCAGCCAGGAGCAGGCACAAGGCAGGGGCTGGCACTTCACCAGACAGCTCCACGCTGAGCTCCCAAACTGACCTGGCCAGGAAGCAGAGAGCTTCAGATGCCCTCTAGCTGCTTCTTTATGCCGGCAAGGAAAATTACTCCATGAAATAGGAGATATTCGCCACCTGAAGAAATATTCCATAATGTTATTCCATTCTTTTAATATTAGAGGAATAATGACAAAAAGCGAACAAAAGCAACTCACCCCCCTGCCCCAGAGTACTCCCAACAGGTCGGCCAGGGCAGAGGGAGGAACCTGCTGTGGAGAAGCTGTTCTGACAAAACTCAATGTAGTTTTGAAAACCCCAGGGAATGGGCCTCACTTCTTTTTCCTGTAGATGTCCGGCCTGACAACTGACTTCATTCGAAGTCCAACTTCCCTCTTTGTCTCCTGATCAAGGCATATTGGAAAGGATTACATTTCACAGAGTATATACAGAGGAGCTGAAGGAGCAAGGATGCAGAAATAAAATAAAGATACAAAAACAAAATACAAACAACTAGCCTGGGGGGGAAATAAGCCTAGTGCAAGCTAAGGTAGGAAGTTAAGTTGTTAAAGCTCTTATAGGAAAGAGCGTTTTTGCTGCTTTTTTTTTTAAAAAAAGAAAAAAATATTGCTTTGCAAGAGTTTAAACTCCACCAAAAAAACCCACTTATTTCACAATCGAAGATTTTAGCTGAGGAGTTATAGCAAGACACCAACTGCAGGGCAATTACACTGGGAGAACTGGACTGATTTGCAGCTCCCAGAACCATGGCCGGCTGTCAGTGGTCTGGAAGCTACATAAAGTTCCTATTACAGAAATGACTCCCTAAAGGATTTGAGTTGTGGCCTTCCTTTCCCAAATCAGAGAAGCAGGTTCAGTTAGTCTTGACATCTTTCAGACTAACCAGAAAAACCCAAGGTCTAATGAGAACCTCTTATTCTGAATGACAAACCTAATGCATCTGCAGTAACATTTCATTTTAGCAGTCTCCCAGTGGCATGAAGCACAGCAGGTTGGAAGGAGTCAGGAAGGCTCAGTGCTTTAGTATTTAACACATTTTAAATGTTCTATCATATAAGATAACAAGCAAGTCTGAGGTCAAACTTACAGTGTACCTGGCGAATTTAGAGGTCCTGTTGAAAGTCATTGCAACTTGTTTGTAAAAGCTTCAAACTCTGCAATGAGCTTCTGTAAACATAACCCTGCTACAAGCAGTTTTCTCTGAGTGCTGCACGACAGTCATGGTGTATGCTTTTTGTATTTTTTTTATTTTTTTTTTTTTTATCAGTGTGAGAAACAAGCCCACGTATATAAAAATTTTATTGGGGACAAAGTCAGTGGAGCAAAGAATACAGCGCTGGGCGCAATGGCACGCCCTGGAGCCAAAGGGGCTCCCTTTTATTGTATAAATGGTTACATATTCATCTACTCTAACACATATGCATCACTACTCCAAGGATAGGGAGGGAATATTACAATTAGTTCCAAGAAATCATGAACATATCCCCCCACCCCAAATTCCTCCCGTCGCGCTTGCGCAGTGCTCCCTGGGGGTCGTGGGCAGGGGGCTGCAGATGAAGGCTCGTAGTCTTCTTCACTGTGTTCGCTCGTTGACCCTTATTTCTGCACAAACTCAGTCCTGTGGTCACGTACACCTTGTCCTTCAGGTCTGGGCTAATTTTCAGCTCCTCTGTCTTTCTGGCTCAGTGGTTTCAGTTCCTCTCTTATCTCAAGGACAAGAGGTACCAGGGATGGCCCATCCTGTTCTTTCTCATTCCATTGCAAAGGAGTCACCGCCCTGTGATATGGACCATCTGGTGAGCATCCCAAAGGAAAAAGGGGGGGCTGTTGGGTTGGTGTTTCCTCTGATCAATCCACCCCCCCTTCTCTTTTCCCACTAGTAAATTATTTTACTTTTCTTAAAATTTGTATCATTGTACTAATAATAGCTTTAACCTAATTCAATAAAAGTAATTGTTTAATTACTTTTAGCGAAAGCAAAATTCTTCTATTATTTATCACAATCAGCAAGCTTGACAGAAAAGATGTAATTTAGTGCAAGATGACTTAAATTTTGAGTGTATGGTAGTGAAATCAACCTCCGGTAGCAAGTCCTTAAGTAGTCTCCAGATGAACAACCTCCCTGGCAACTGATTTCTCTGGTGTATAGGTTCAACTGTTTAGTCTTCCAAGCAAAACTCCCCTCCCTTGGCTGCTCTCTGCATGTTCCCCCTCACGCAGGCTGCTTGTCATATGGAGTCTTGCCAGCAAACGGGAGCAGGGTTTTGTAATGACCAGCTGGTAGAAAGAAGGAAAGTGCACTGTGGTTCAGGGCTCAGAGCTGCAAGGCTCACTGTTTAAATCAACCTTTAAAGACCACAGTGTTAAAAGTTATACTGAGCACCTGCCTGTTGCTAAATATTGGCTTTCGACAAGGCAATCTTGGACTTTTCTGGATGTACAGTAATTTAGATATTTGTTCCCTGTAATGAGGACAAAGACTGAGCAGCTCCATCTTACTGGCGACAGTTACAAACTCTGAGCAAGACAGATGCCAAGACCATCTGCTTCAAGAAAGACAGCCTTCTTACCAGCAAGTTGCGTGAGAATATGTGGGTCATTTCCTCCTCTCGCATATGAAAAAAGTCCAAGAAAAAGATGGCACAAGGCCTAAGGAACCATCAAGTTTCCCAGGCAGAACTCCAAGAACAATGGAGATAGATAATTATCTGTAAAACTTCCACCGTAAAAGTAATTGGTATTAATAAAAGTGGCAACATATTAGCACATAATTTCTGAAAGTTACAGATGCAGGATCAAGAGGAACAGAATTATGATGCTTCAACAGCAGCCCTGCACTCCAGCTTGTGTCTATTCCTTCCCGGCAGCGTGACATGCTTCCCTCCAGCCCTCCCCAAAAGCTCCTTTCAGCTTGAATCACTGTTGCATTCTCCACCTAATATCAGGGGAGAACGAATTGGGGGAACTCAAAACATGCTCTTCCCCTTTCCTCCCAACCCTGAATTTTCCCTGGCTCTGTCTGCTCACACGCTCAGTTCAGCCTAGGGGTCCTCAGTCTAGACTTGCTCTGACTAGCATTTGTAACAGACCAATTTCTGGCTAAACATGAAATTGGAAAGATAAGAGGAGGACATGATTCGAGTTAATTAGCTCAGCAAGAAAGCTTTTCCCAGGTGGCTGCTGAAAAGACAAGTCCAGGCTCGCACCGCACAGACACGCGCCGTCTGTCCTTGTGCACAGCAAACTAGCTGACAACGTGAGTTTTGGAGTCTGCAACTCTCAAGCTGACAAGAGGGAATTATCCTCATAAAAATTCCCCCTTCAGGCTTCAATGCAAATGTGAGAAATTCCACAAAAGATTAACACGGTGACCAACAGTGCAAGGGACAAAGGATTTTATCTGAAAGTTTCTGGGGGAATTTTGATTCTCAGCTTGTTGCAAACATTTAATCCCAATTCACCAACTCCAGCAAAATTCATTCAGTCAACATTTCTCACTTTTGTTCCCAAAGCCAACACTCAGCATATTACTACTAAAGTTAATAAACTTATTTTTATACTTTGTGTGCATATATATATATATATATATATATATGAAATATACATATTTATTTTTTTACCTGCCTGGTGACACATGGGAAAACACAGTACCAACTACAGAGCCAGATATTTTGTGTATTATGATTTAAAGGCTTTTAAGCATTTGGGAGGTATGTTTCTGGTAGGGAAGCTAATACACATTTCGGTGAGAAGCTTTTGTACCTATCTGCTCTATTCCTCCTCTCCTCCCCAATTCCGTATTTATAAGCTGCTAATGGTCAGGGCACGCTGCCACATATCCACTTAGAAAATGTACTTGAAGAAAACTGTTCTAAATTATTTCAGCCCACTTTATACCGAAGCAGCACCCGGGGCACAGTGCGCACCAGAGCTCAACTCCCAGCTCAGGAGTCAAGTTTCCCAAGAACCACGTTGTAAATTCACCCCCTGTGACAGGGCAGCATCTCGCGCCCACCCGTACACCCAGGAGCTGAGACACAGGAGCAGCCTCCCCCCTGCCCACAGAGGGAATCGTCCTCAGGCCAGGCCAGACCATCTCTTCCCTCTCTCTCTCCCCAGGCTCTTCCATTTCCTACCTGTGTATCTGCACAGGTCCAAAGCTAGGCACTACCCAGGTACCACCAGAACAGAGCCTGGGAGAAGGGAGTGTGGGGTTTTTCAGGTACACAAGGCTACACAGATGGGAAGATAAACAGAAACATGGAAAGTTGATGCAGTTACACAGTGGCATGAATGGACAGTGGAAAGACTTCCAGTTCAGCTTTAGAGAGTTGACCTAAAAATGCGTAAGCTCCACGTGCACTCACAAAGGCCTAACTTCAGCAAGTGCTCTCTGAAAGAACAGAATTAGTTATTTTATTAACAAGACCAAACCCAACAAGAAACCCCACAAAACCACCAACCCCTTTCCTTCCCTCTACACAATTTCAGATTCTTTTCATCTCATCTACAGCAGCGCCTTATCTTCTATCCTGCTGTCAATTAAGGTGATTACTACTTTGATATGGTTTATAACTGATGAGCAGTGATTGGATTTATTATAAACAATGTAGTGTAATTCAAAACTGTAATTAAAGACTGATCCATGGGATAAATTCATTATATGTTTTTGTCTCCATTATGTGCTCAATAAAAGAGCAGATAGGTAGTTGAAAGGATTTTTTTTCTCCTGCATCCAACTTGCACAAACAGTGCAAGAGAATGAGTTTATCTAAACACTGGTATAACTGCAAATTAAAATACCAAATGGTAAGAAATGTTTTATAGGGACACTGCTAGATAGAAGAATTAAGATAAACAGACTTTTTATAAAAAGATTTATTAAAAATAAGTTCTTTAAAGAGAAAAGAGCGTGACATGTATATACATTAACCTGTCAAAACCTTTATGGGGTTTATAATACAATGTATTCCAAAGTGAACAAGAGACATTCACTTTTTTTTAATATGTCATGCTTGTTGGAAAGTAACAGCATATGGGAAGAGAAAAAAAAAAAACACAGAACTTAACACACAACCATTACAAGCAAAATCTTGAAATTGAGGACTTCTTGCAAAGATGAAACTCAGTGATCAGCACGATGATATTGTTAAATACAGACAGAAACCAAAAGTTTATGAATACAGTCTTCAGTTGATTCAGTTTATGTGACAACTGCCAGCTTCTGATTAGTTCTTCATTTCTCCTATGAATTAACATATCTTAACAAGTGGGTTTGTGTTCTGTAAAGGTACTAGTATTTTGAGGACAACAAAATACCACCCCAAACCAAACAAGCGCCTCTTTTTCCAGTTCTACTGGAGTAGATATCAAAGATTTCTTCTTAGGAAGAGCCACACAATTGCTGTTTTTTTTCCTTTAACTCCCCACATCTCTGTCAGCCAGAACCACAAAAACAGTTTTTCTTAAAATTATTTTATTTTACAAAAGTGTTTTGCACAAACAGTGACATGACACACTAGCACGTGATTCTGCATGCTCCAGATGACCTCAGCTTCTCATACCCAGAGGTCGTATTTAGAACTACAGCCTTTCAGCTGTGTCTTCTGAAGATTTCCCATTTTTTGGTGCACATGTACAGCTAGTTGAGAACTGCAGTATTACAAATGCCTACCCATCCTTGCAGCAGAATTCACTCTAATCTCAGATGTATGCAGGACTTAAATCTTCAGATCTCCGCAGCAGCCTCTTTAGTCCCACAGTTTAATAAGACCATCCCAGCCGCATGTAATGACTTTTGATGTTTCGTGTGGATGCCACACTGCACCGATACAGACTTTATCATGTGCTTTTAATCTGCTGTAGAGTTTTGTTGTCTTCCAGTCCCAGATGTTAAGTTTTCCATCTGCATCTCCAGATATCACGTAGCTACATTAAGAGGATTAAAATAAAAGCTGTATCGTGTGTGAAGACTGCTTGCATTGTAATACTACATTGAGCAACAGAAAAGAGCTTCACCCTGTCTGACAGTCTGCAAACATACCTACCAAAGAATTAGCATTCATGCTGTGCTTTAAAGCGCGCAAGTCTGCAGAAGGTGATTCATCAACTGCGAGGTAAATGTGCTAAGCAATGTGATTATACCATACACTGTGTTACTGGAACTAAGGAGAATACAACAGCAAAAGAGAAAGTGCCATAAGTTTATCTGAAATTTATAGACACTTCCCAGTTTTTTCTCCAGTTTTGCTGAGGTTATTCTCCAGTGTTTATAGTAATGAATATCTTATGTACATACAGTGGTAAATGTATGGGCATATTTCTAAGCAAATAGGATGAGAAAGGTGGTTTTCTGAACAATAAATGAGGATACCTACACCGGACCTGCAAACTGGAAAAACTGGGCAAGTCAGAATCCCAGGGACTCTAGGCAAGTGCATACTGTGAGAATGAACCCTGTGCTGCAGACCATGTGCGAAAAGCCAGATACGAGTCAGAAGCAGAAGCCTCCTGTGCTGCACCAGAGCTGGGCAAAACAAGGGGAGGCTCCGGATGGTTTAACAGCAACTTAAATCATCTTTGCAGAATGGGGAATCTGGATTACATGGCCTGTTTTCTTAATGTTGCTCAGAGCAACCACTGAGTATAACTTAGTCCTATCAAATGACAAGGGTAAACTTTCTGTTATGCTGTTTAGTTCTCTGTCTGATGCTGAGTTAACAGGATGGCTGTGCATCAATGAATGTTGCAGAGGACTCAAAAAGAAATTTAGTGTCTGTGCCAGCAAGTCTTAAGATGAAGCTCATTTCCACAAAAACTTACCTCATGTCAGGTGAAAAATCCACTTGACAAGCGTAGCCAGCTACCATGTGACCTTTGAAAATTTTCTTTTTGTTTAATCTGAATCTGTTCTGAGCTCCAAAAATCAGAATTTGGTTATCCATCGACTGGCAAGCCAACCATTTCCCTGTGAGTGCAATAAACAAACGGTGGTATCAGAGTGCTGCATTTGAATAAACAGACTTAACTGGAATGTTTTAAGAGATTTTTTTGTAACTTCTCTTGCACTATCTTAATCCAGGTTTTCACTATGTAACGGGGTTCTAGGTAGCAGCTGATATTACTTCTGTCTGGTACAACTGCCAAGAGGCAAAACCTTGTGTTTGACAGGATTTGGGGAGCCTATTCCTACAAAAAGTATTCAGGACTCTAGAAAAGCTCTAGCCATTACAACTGTGTGCTGCATCAACCCCACTGATTTACTGCTAAGTTTTACAGCTACTGAGTAAGCTTCCTAGTGTGCATAATCAGGTAATTCAGATGAGAGGAAAAAATCCCACCTAGCTGCAATCTATTTGATTACCTGTTTTGTGGGTACTCTAAGATGGTCACCTCTTATTTTCCTTATGGGAAAAACAGGTCTAAGGTAGACTCAGGAGTTTGAAAATCCTTACGTATTCTCTGCCCTAATGGAATGCAATTTAATAAAGATACTTCAGTCAAAGAAAAAAAAAAACCTCAGGCTTTTCTAATCTTAACTCTAACTCATTTTGTGTGTTGGCAGTACATTAACTCCTGCCTGAGAATCCAGTGAAGATGATGTGCTACAGGACACCATCGAACAGAGACTTCTGCCTGAACTCTGCATATCGTCACTGCCTTTACAGTGTTTTACGCAAACTGCGATAACATAAAATGTGCTGACTTGACTGTAAATCTGATCACACTTCCAGCTACTAGCTTGGAATCTGAGGATTTTTTTTCAGCCTCCCATAAATCAAATCAAGTGTGTACCCCAAGCATGTTATTCTCCTCTTCTACTTTTTAAAAGGTCTGTTTCCTGCATTGCTCAGGAGGAAAAATTTAATTGATGACATTCATAAATCAGTGCCTCTAAGCAGAAAAGTTCCACATCTGTAAAAATTTCAATTTACTTTTCTTTAAAGGACTCATTTAACTCCCAAATGATGCATGATGTGTCTGGCACAATCTGTAGTGTAACTATGCAGAAAGAACTTGTTTTGTGCAATACTGGACTACTGCAGGTCAAGACAATGTTAATTAATGTGACAGGTGATATCTTGAGCTGAAAAGATAACTATTTCATTCCTAACATCATTTCCTGTCTCATCTCAGTAATCAAATACTCAAATATTGGCTAGCCAGAACTGGAAAAAGAATGAGAAATCCAGTATTTCAATGTGGAAGTATGAGATGAACTGAAAAACTGGATCAGAATTCATCAAGTTGTGGAACTTCAGAAACCGGGGTTGAAAAAGGCCAGCTTGGGAAACTAACATTTTTAAATGCAGTTACCTCTTTCTCCAGAATCTTCCTTTTTATATTAGAAACCCACTTCTACTGTTAAGAATAAAATATTTACAATGCAAACCAAATACAATTTGATGCTGATAGCTGGCCAAAAACGTTAGCTGTGCAACAAGTTGATCAGCCACTACTGAGCATAATGGGACTGTTAACTGTAAATCTGGCAACACTTCAATAATGTTGACACTAAAGCTATTTAATATTGGCCAAACCAGATAACAGAGATTTTGTCCTGTTAGAAGGATTTTCAGTGATTACTGGAAGCACTAAACCTTTATATCCTTCAGTTTGACTCTTACTGAAGAACATAAACACCAGTGAAACATTAACATACAGAAACACTGAAATAATTTGGGATTTCTCTTATGCAAGACTTATGTGGGCTATATTCAGAACAGAAAGGAACAGCATTAACAGAATCATGTACAACACCGGTTTTTGCTTTAAAGGTGGCACTACAAGGACTGCTGAACTTGCTTAGTACTTTGCAGCCACTGTCAGTTCCCACCATTGTTTCTCTTAATATTTTAAATACAGCGAAAATCACATCATAACTCTGTGAAAAGAAAAAGTCCTTTTGCCCTGTCTGGATTTAATTTAATACAGTTATCCTGATATAACCCCTGATTTTGACATACTTGTTCTTCTTAAGACTGCTAAATCAGAACAGGATCCAGTCCAGTCTTGGAATAAATGCACATAGTGATTTCAGGGGTGAGGGGGAGTGGTGTGGGGTGACAGGGGGATGCAACACGGCAACATTACAGAGATATAATCAGTCAGACACGCCTACATAAACTAGGTCTAAGAAGGCACTAAAGCTACCTACCATTTGGAGACAAAGTCACGGCTGGCATCGAATGCATACTTGGCTCAGCTATGTACTTGAAGTCTACAGGAATGTCCCTGCAAAAGGAAGAAGTATGTGTTTTATGAAGACATGGAGATGTTCCAAAGGGCTGCCTCCAGTCAGCTGGTTTACTCAGCCACTGCCCCATGGAGAACATATGGTGGTGTCCAAAGGAAGAATGTGCAAAAGCTCAAAAATATTATGACAGCCCACCTAGAGAGCTCCAGCTGTGAAGCCATCGACAGGATAACCACTGATAGAGTGAATTTACACCAGTGAAATGACCCAGAGTCTAAAGTAGAATCATAATTCCAATAGTTAAAGAGTAAAACACAAGGATAATCTATTGCCTTCAGTTTAACTGCAACTCCTACAAATTCTTATGCAAGTAGCAAGAATAGACTGATATATGCATGTATTCTATTGGAATGTCTTACTGACTTGAGTTTTAACTAGAATGTTTCTCCCCCCCTTTTTTTTTTTTATTTTTTGAAAACAGGAATCTCTCTCATCTCTCTGACAATGCCCGCTTCCTCCTGATCTCCCCAAATGGGATGCCAACCAATCCTAAATGTTCACAGCTGAACTGAACTGTGAACTCCCCGGTCTCAACTGCAGAGTACTGTGCCAGTGTATCTTAAGAACAGAACACTGTCCTGTACAAAGGCCTAGGGAAAAAATAAATACAGTCTAATCCTTATTCTGCAGAACTGTCATTTGGTTTTGACTATGTAAATTGAATTACTAATGGTCCATGCATATTCACAGTATTCCTCACACCCTACACTAGGAGACTGGTGAAAAAAGTAAGGCATGCATGTCTTTCTCATTAAGCAAAAGAAATCTCCATCAGAAAAATAGATTTGATTAATGTATTCAGCAGAAAACACAAGCAAAATGCTCTGTAGCAACATTAATTAATACAAAGGGGATGGTTATGACCTCATTGTCTAATTCACACAGTAGAAGGGCAGCTGGGACACTATCAGAGCAGTGACCGTGGGTGGCTGCCTTGTACTAGCTGATCGAGCCTTGCTGGATGGCAACATGGTCAACATTAGCAAAGTAATTTCCATGCTATTTTATTGTGGAGTAAGTGATTTCTATCATCTTGTGTTAAGCAATGTGCACATGGGCAGCAGGGTAAGAACACTCTCTATTGTTAGGAAGCAACACAAATGCTCCCGTGAGTTAAAAGTTAAAATCATTTACCCCTCAGAATAAGTAGGGCAACCCACTTAATACACACTGTGGATAAGACCATGCCCATGGACAACTGGTTTCCAAACAGGCAGACCTAAGGCTACTGTTGGACAGTAAATCTGTAAAGGAATAACAAAAAGTCCACAATATCTGAGGCTGACCAACATGACAGCATAGGAAGTGCAGCCCCCTGTGCCCTGTCCTACCCTTTTCCATCAATTCTCAAACAGCTTCAAACCCCACCTGCAACTAGGTCATCGCTGTAATAAGGCCAGATCCTGACCAGCTCCCACCATCTAACACTCCCTCAGCCCACCAGTCACCTAGAGTCCACAACGTCACGTAAAAGCAATCTCACTGGAAGCCCCATTTAAAAAAGTCTCATCACAGAAGATGCATCTCCAACGCCAAATTGTACTGCAGTGAAAAATTTAAATGCAGCACAGGCTGTCCTGCCTTCTCTCCTTTTACAAATGAAGGCAGGCTCACCTACTGGAATTTATTCAAGACAGCTCTGCTTTATGCTGCAGCCTACCAGACACACAGACAGCTGCAGGATACGCTGCATTAAACTATTGGGCAGAATAATTAGATACATCTATGTTTCACATTTGCTTCCAGTCAAATTGCTAAGTAATTTCAGACTGCTCCCTTAAAAAAAACTTTAAAAAAAATTACCAAGAAAGATGCTGTCATGGTTGCCCGACCTCAAAACTCATGTGATATATTGTTTGTTCAAATTTTAAAATTCAAAGATCTTCAAGTCCTTTCCTACTTCATAGCATTTCAAAGGCTGACAAGTTTTAAATATCAAAAGTAGTATTTACTAGCCAAGATTTAGAAATGTGATACTCTGAGGTTCTAATACAACTTCTTCCCCAAGCAGGAGAGAAAAATCCTTTTAAAGAAAGAAGGGAAAAAAAAACCAACCAAACAAACCAAAACCAAACCCAACCCAATTTTGGGATCTACACATCATGAAGAGCTCTCTCAGGAGACTACAGCATCTTTACCAGGAACGATGGAGAGAAAAGGCCTGCTGAGTGGTATAGTTTTTAGATGAGAAGCCTAAGCCTGTCTGGATAACATCCAAGCTACCATTGTACGGTTCTTGCTTTGCTAGCCGACTTGAAAGTAAAAGGAAATAAAAGCTTCCAAGGTCAATTGCCCAAATCATGTCACTGTTCACCCAAGTAGGACCAGATGCATACAAAGCAAAGACAAAACAACGTTTTGCATTTCTAGAAGAACGAACACAAAATATGATACCCATGCCAACTTTAATATCCCTGCTGTAACAATACAATCACATGAAATGCAAAAGCAGACACATTTTAAAGTACTCCCACTAAGATTCCTAAAGAAACCATTTAATCTGCAGGAGTCTGGGCTATACTTGCAGGATGAACTTTCAGCAATCAGCCAAGTGCAATTCAGCGTACAGCACAGTGCAGGCTATGCACAGGATGAACTCTTGGGGAAAGGAGATTTAGATTCTCAGAAGAGAAGTTCCTCGCTGTGATGAAGTCTGACAGGGCATCCCATTACCAGCTCTGGCCAAGTCAAAGTGTTTACAAAACATACTACAAAATTCCTCTAGACAATTGAAGCTAAGCAATTAGACCAGCTTTAATTACTGGCTTTTAAGGCCATACTCGGGTCATAATTACTTCTGCTTTGTTTCTGTAGGTTACTGAAGAAATATTGTGCTGAAAAGCATATGAAGAAAAGTGCCAAAAAGTGCCGGAACAAAATCACCCTAAGTTGCAAATAGTTATTCGAAGTGCAGCATGAAATAATTTGCCACAGAAGTTTTCAAGCTCCAAAAGCTTCTGTGGTGAATATATTAACTTAGTTTTAATGCACTGTAAAAATCTGGATCTTGAAATTATAGAAATATGCCTACAGACCAATTAACCTATATGATGGCAGGTTGTAGAGGAAGCTTTTCAAGTTATGCCCAGGAAGACAGCATTACGTTTGCTTTTTATAAAACAAAAAAAAATCCCTGATGACTGTATTACAGAATATTGCCTACAGTTGAGTTCCCTATTATTTGAACAAGGGAGCTCTTTCTTCCGCGTACAGCAAGCTCAGTACATATTTTTTCTTCAGGAGGAAACAACTTCTGCTACTGGAACAATCAGGTTGTGATGTTCCCATGCCAGAACCTTTTTGCCTTTCCTGCTTCTCCCCACAGAGTGACTAAACCCACCCACTTTGCTATTTATTTCAGCCATCAACACAAAGCTCACAAAACAAGGGCAATCCAATCTCAAGGCAATAACAGATTTGTGCAAGTGAAGTCATCCTCCCACTCACCAGAGAGGAGCCATTCCTTAGCTGATATGATATTGCGAAGATTTTTCCTTAAGGAGCTCAGTAAATGCATGGGTCTAATTATGAAGTACTGAACAGAGGCTCTCTTGGAGTGACACACAGCGACAGCATTACATGTCTAGCCTAAGCCTGGATTCCCCAACTTTGGTCATTACCACCGCTGCTACTGGCAGTGAAAGCAGCCCATCAGACACGCTGAGGGTTTTGCTGGATGCTTGGGTAACATTCAAATACCACAGATTGGAGTCTCTTTTTTTTTGTTTTGTTTTGTTTAAAAAAAAAAAAAAAAAAGCTAGGAAGGAACTGATTAGTCACAGAACTGTCAAACTATCATCCGTATTGTTCAACAGCTTTGCATGTGTGAACAGCAAAAGGAAATGGATACCTAAAGATATGGGAGTGATTATATCAAAATGAAATTTGAAATCCTAGAGAAAGCTTAAAAGTCCTAAGCTGAAAATGTTAGTACCCAGAACCTTCTGAAAAACATTTCAGATAGGAGAGATTTGGTTTTTTTCCCAGATATTTGGAAGCCATTTAAAATTCTGTTTCTTATGAATTTTTCTTGGCTAGACTTTCACTTTTCTGTCATCTATTGTATTCATACTGTGGGTATCAATGATCGCCAAAAAAACAGACTACCAGCAAACCAGAAATGAAGCTACACTAAACTAGTTATTTCATACATGGGCCAAATATTATATAATACTATGCACATCCAAGTTCAAAGCATTCAAAACTAATGTAACAGAGCAGGTATTTCTTTAAAAGGTTAATTAAAGGGCTAATACACCATTGGGGAAAGGAGAAAGAACAGAGATCACTAATAGAGTGCAGTGTGCTTCAGGCTGACAGGGCTGTCTTGTGCCTTGGGGGGGTGGGGTGGGGGAAAGATGAAATCTGTGATATGTCTCAAGCATTAGGCCGGAATAGGGTTTTAAAGCTAGCTCTTCCTCAGCTGGCTAGAAGTCAGTACAATCCAGTGTCCTATGTATACTTTTTAAAATTAAACTCTTTTCTCAGTTTGCTCATAAGTTAAAATTCAAAATTTTAAACTTACCATTCCCAGACTCTTAAACTCTTGTCATCGGATGTACTCACAAACCTTCTATTTTCATCCACAAACACAATGGTGTTGACAGCTCCCAAATGCCTATCATATTCCTGCACAATCTCACCACTTCGAATATCCCACTACAAATAAAAGTCAGAATAAGGCCTTGTTTTTCACTAAATACCAGAATTTTTAGAGGAAGAGATATTAAGTAGACATACCTGCACAATCTTCTTATCTGACATTCCTGCAACAAAGAGATTTTGTTTATCTTCGTCAGGATTGAACTTGACACAATAAGGAACCTTCCTGTTTGTAAATCTTGAAATACATTGCCCTGCAACAGAAAAGCCATTCACAGTGCATCAGGTTAGAAGTTCTATGGGCTGATTAGTTCTTCGCAGACATTGAAAAAAAACCATTCATTTTACTTTTACTTTACTAACAGCAGAAAATACTTATTTCAAATCCCTTGAGAGGATTAGAGTATAGATTTTACCCTGCTCTTTGATTAGATACTTCATGCGTTTGTATGCATGCACCTGTATAAACACATACAAACTGTTCTGTAGCTTTACTACAGTTTTCCAAACAATATAACTGCTCAGGACCTTGTATGCCATCAGGATATATCAAGAACATCAGGACGGGTCAGGATATCACAAGCTGACCTTAGGATCAGAGGTCTTCCTGACCAGAGACTTAAACTCAGGTAAGAATTCCTCAATCTAAACCTTGAAAAGGATAACAGTAATCCAACTGCAAAACAAACCACTGATGTCCTCTTACAGCCTCAGCCATAAATATCCTGATTACATGTTATCTGTAACTTACAGGAGCCTGTTTTAATCCAAAAGCTCCATAAATTATTCAGGTGTCTAAATAATTGAGTTCAGACTCAAGACTGGAGAATTTGACTTATACCTTTCTGGCTGTTACCTACATAAGACTAGCTAACCAAGATGCCTAACATCTTTTTCAAACAGGGGAACTTCCTGTCCTAGGAACAGACTTAAATTTAAAAGAATATTGAAAAAATGTCTCCTGTATCTTTTTAGCTTAAGAGACTACTTGGAGCAGATGTTATAGAGCATCTCCCAGGCAGTTTTGTGACAGCATGAGACCTGCCCTCCAACTCCCTCTACCAGCAGCGCAATTTCCACCACATTTTCTTATTTGGAGTGCTCTTCAAGTTCAGGTTAACAGAAAGGTCAAGTGAAATAATTCTTCTAAATTGAGCATATTTAGCTCTAAATTGTGATTTAATTACTTAACTTTATGCCCACAAATGTAAACATGCAATTAACTGATTTTGTAAAATTTTGTCTTTTTGCTGAAAATTGTTCTAGCATTACAGATGACTATCAAATCCCTCAAGTAAAAAGGTGTATTAAATACAGGTACATAGGTAGTGTCAATTGCACCATTACAGATAACAAAACATTTAGGAAAAAAAAGACTATCCATTCTGCAATGAAAGCCTAAACACCGAAATACAAGACGATATTAAGGATAATTGGAAACAACCTGACTGACCAATAATATATCTTGATATTTTCTGTTAATGAAATATAGTTCCAAGTAACAGCATCTACAAATACAAGCCTACCTGTTTCAGTGTCCCAGAGTTTAAGATAGCGGTCATATGCAGCACTAAGAAATCGAGTGCCAGCATTATTAAAACAGATGTCTCGAACAGCTTTACTATGTCCTACAAGATAGAAAAAATGCAATGATAAACCTTTATCCATTCATGCTTAATGTTTGGGTTTTTTTTTTTTTTTTTAATATATATTATTCCAGGGAAATGCTCCAGTCTTTAATAATGCAAAGAGAAGAAGAAAATCACTTAAAGTTCTTCATGAGCACTAAAAGAATGATTTGCATGAGAAAGAAAAAGTAACTCCTAAAGAACGATGAGAATAAAACCCCCAAACCCACACACCTCTAAAACACTGGAGAAACAATAGCACTGCACAGTGCCAACCACTGTGCATCATTCATAAATTGATATAAAAGAACTTTAAGTACTGTTGGCTTCAAAGATTGTTCTCTTGCAGTTAGGAATAGCATTTAGAAAGTCACAGTTAGGAACTGCAAGAGAAGTTTAAAACACTGTAATAAATGTCCACATCTAATGAAAAAGAGAGACAAACACTACAGGAGACACTTTTAAAGGAGAAGCATTTATAATTAGAAAACAGGCACAAAATATGGGAAATATTAGATCAGAAAATTAAGAATGTTTTCATCTGGTGTTAACCTTGTTACCCCTCAACCCCGATACTTTCATCTGATCACTGCATCAGACTTGTAGGAAATCTCTTTAGTTAAAATATTGGCACAGTAACTTAAATATAGCAAAATAGCAGGTGAACCTAGTTGATAAGAAGAACCTTTTGAGAAAAACAGTCAAACTGTTCAGAAAGAACAGTCTACTGAGAGAGAAATGTTTTTGAGCCATCATCTTTGTCACACTGCTGTCATCAGAAATATTAGGTGAAAAAAGACTTCTTTGTTGTAACTCAACATATATTCACACAGTGTTCTAGAAATGCTCCCATTTAAAAAGGAGAATCAGCTGCTTTTGTTCTGCATTCAAGGCTGCTAAAAAGTTTGTATTTCTCTCTCAGCTATCTGCTTTAAAAAGCATCTGTTACATGAACAAAGAAGGCACCTGAACCTAAAAAAAAAAGAAAAACACAACTTTCCCAGGCTTTTGCACTCAAAACTCAGCACAGAAGAGACCACCTATTTAAGGCGGGATCATCAGTCCATGAGATGCCCTCACTGCTGCTGTTCTCAACATAAATACCAGGCAATTTAATTTCACAACTTTGCCTTTGGAAAGGAGTCTTGCATAAAGTATTGATGACTGCAATATACTAATATTTTGATTTAAAGGTCATGAGGTGTTATACATCAACATTAAATTGCTTGGAATAATGACAAAGGTTCACTAAAAAGCTGCACTTTTTTCAATTCTTATTGCCAAGATCATACTGAATACCATTTGCCTTAGATTCCTACAGGTCCCTTCTGTGATAAGTTAATAAGCTAAGCTAAATCATACCCTTCCATGAAGTTGCTTTATACATACGTCAGTTTTTTTAAAACAAATACTATTACCAATGAATGTTCGTAGACATCTTCGATCACCATATACTTCCCATAGCTTGGAAAAAAAGAAAAGAAAGGCATGGGGAGAAAAGATGTCAATTGTTAAACAATAATTATGCTCAAATTAAGTGCAAAAATATATGGAAACATCTTTTAAGAAATTATTTACAAACATATAACATCTACTGATTAATCACAACTATCTACCCAGAAATTCACAAGAACGCTCTGTCACCTTCTTGTTAGCAAAACCCCCTTGAGATAACTAAAACCCCCATACCATATTCCAACTTCAAAACCTGAAGGTTTTGATAGTTAATAAAAACAAACAAAAAAAATATCATCAGCTTTCTAATATGATGTATGCTGGACTAAAATGAGATTAGTTCAAGACCACAAATGCTTTGGTAAAATACTTCAAGAAACCTATTGCTAGTTGTAAAACTAGGCTTCACAGAAAATTAATTATTATAATAACAAAGGCAATAATCTGAGGAACTTGTGACTTCCTAAATGCTATTACTAAATTATTAACACTGTTCTAACACCCACAGTCTTGTGTGTTATGTCTATCTTTGTTCCAACAGATTTGTAATTTAAAAATCAAGTGAGAAAAATAAAAGTAACGGACAAAAGGTATTTGGAAGAATTACCAGATGTTTAAGTATTCTAAAATGCATTGCCTGCATTCAGTGATGGTATAAAATATAACCACGAAAACAGAAGAAGAATAAAAGAAAAACTCACCTTAATTTTGCAATCCATAGAGCAAGACAACAGTATATGCCCAGATAGAGGAAACAATCTAACTGCACTGACACCCTGTAAATAAGGACATTAATTAAACAGTAAGTGGAGATTCTAGATATTTTATCAGTTCACTTGCCCTCTTTTCTAAGGAAAAAGCTAAAGCTTATGTTCATAAAATATACAGATACTGTATCTTCAAAAGAAATGACCTACCCACATTCCATTTTAGAAACTGCAATACATCTTGAACAATTGTTATTGGCAACAAATTGATTCACTTCCACAGCTGCATTTATACCCTCCTTCCACACTCACAACATTACCGTGGTAAACCACAAAGAAATACAAACTGTGGGTTTGGGCTACTGTTTCTGCATAACAAGCCTTTTCATGTGGGGCAGGTGAGGAATTTTTCCACAAAAAAATGTTTCTGGCCAGCTCCACTTCTCACATATACTTCCAGTGGCTTCTTCACACTGAACTCCTATTTCTTGGGCACAGCATCTTCACATCTACCTGTACTTCAGGTACTCCTTTCAGAGAAAGTCCAAAGAACCACCAACTACTCATGGTTTGATGGCTCCTTCCATGTAATTTTCATGTAATTTACTCCAGTCATTTTCCATCCAGTTCCTCCCACCCCTGGTTTGACTGGAGTGCTTTATCCTCTCTATTATTGTCTACTTATATCCCCCAGGTTTTCTAGATTGGTCAACCCGTCTTTCTCGTTTCCCTCGCTGATATCGTTATTCATCTCGTTTGAAGGGAAAAGCTATTTTATGCATCAGTCTGTTCTAATAGAATAATAGGCAGAGGAGTGAGTAGAGCTTCGAAGAGGAGATGTTATTCTGGAAAGCACTGATAGTTGCAGCTACAAGCTCTTTGATGCATCAATCATTAAAGAAGAGTTCAGAGCTGTGACTCAACTGAAAAAGGGTAAAAGCTAAAAGTGTTCCCTGTGTCCTCCCGTCTTCCATCTTTCAGATATCATTAAGGTGCTGTCCACTGCAGCACAGCATATTCCCTCAAGCAATACAGAAAATTAGAAACAAAAGAAGTAGCAAATTGAATATAACCTGGTGAAACACTTTTTTAATACCAAAAGTATGAATATAGTTATGGGCTCTGACACAAGAAGAAACTGAAGATGTTAAGCAGCATCATCAAATAAAAAGATTAACAAGGCAGACCTCTCAAAGATAACAGCTGTATTTGGGAAACCTGTAATGCTGATGCATCATAAATCACAAAACCTATGTAAATTTTCATAAGTTTGATATGAAATAGCCCTTAAGTACTTTTACTATAACAAAACAAAAAAAAAAGGCATTTTCAGGGATCTCTACAATTAGCCTCATGTGGTAGTTTAGGAAATAACTCCAAATCCCACAGCAGTCACTGAATAATATTTATCCTGTTAAGAGAGGCCAGGAAGTCACTATGCTAATAAAAAAGTATATGCAGGTAAACAACTGCATTTGAGCAGACAAACACCTTGTGTGAGCCTGTAATGCAACCAATTACATGCTTAATGTGGTGAAGACAAAAATACTCATTCTTTCTACTGATCAGTTTTATAGAAGTTACTAGCTTCAGACACAAAGTGAAATGGATTTTTATGATGCACGCTCACAAACATGACTTCCTACCTTTGTATGTCCAGACCACACATGGATTTGTTTCTTTGGAAGATAGCACTTCTCAGGTGGCACTGTAGAACGGAGGTTAACTCCAACATCTTGAGGGACATGAAGATACGATCTCCCCTGATAGTCATACATTTCCTTAACTGAAAAGGTAAACACAAAATTCTGAGAATCCCTGAGCCTGTATTTAATTGGTTATAATCTTTGAAAGGCTCAACAGCCACACACAATTAAGGCTTTTCTCAACACAGCTCCTCTGCTGTGAAGTGGCAGGAAAAAAACAAAAAACACCCCACTTCATAGGATACAGATGTGGAATCTTATTTGACATCTGTTAAGATCAAAATTAAGTCCTTTCAGCCAGTCTGCCTGAAATCTGATCATCTGAACGTTAAAACAATCTCCCCCTACACACCTTACTCATCATCAAACAGCAAGAGAGTTCCTCGGGTCAACAAGTGTTTGCTTACATTAACTGTACAGATTATAACATGCAACTCCAACCCTGGCATTTGCTTGCAATTCACATTCCAGCCAGTTCTGTGCGGTGTCACTCATGTAAACAGAATTACAAATCAGAGTAAAAAAGATCCATTTGGCTAGTATGAACCAATGTTGGTCAGCAGCAGCCAAAAGCTGTTCTTAAACTAGATTTAGTAAGTTATTGGACAGTCAGACACGCAGGGACGTATTGTGCATGGAAATGGGTATTTCAGACTAGACTTGTGTTGGATAGCCATGACATTAAGCTGTGCACTGATTAAATTAATTTCTCAGTTTCTGGGATATTGTTATAGCAGTTTTTGTTGTACAAGTGACCTCCTGCACAGTATCAATGTTTACACGTGTCTACCAAATGGCATATTTCTGGAATGGTTGTGCTTGAGAAGATCATTTTCAGGGAGAGACCATGAAAAGTTGGATACAAAATAAATATTCTATAGGAGGCTCAATGGCTAAAATTTCAGGTTTGTTATGTTCATCACCATTGAATAAATATTGTCATGATCTACTACATATAAGCAGAATCAAGTACTGATGTCAGCAACACGTATCTCATAGCTGCTTCTTTAATGCATGTTAAGAAAGGATGCTCCACCTTGTGCACCTGAACCTGGCTGTAGAAAGTGGTAAACAAAGAGAACCTTGGTTTACCCAACTATCTGTGCCAAGCAGTATAAGACAGGGCTGTTCTGCATGTAAAGAGTTGAAGTAACAGTTTCCAAAAATCACTTTATTTTACTTACTTACCAAACCATTTTCTTTGAAGGTATCACATGCTATAGGCCTCCAGAGGGCAATTATTATTTGATATGAAATTATTCATAGTATGACAGCAAGAACATTTACATTAAGAATTGAGGAAGTATAAAGTGATTTTCTAAATTGTATGTAAGCCATAAATCAAAGCACTACCTGCTGATGAAAGTACTGACACATAAAACTGCAGTAATTTTGAAGTTGAAGCTAAGCCAAACTCATAATGTTAAAATGTTTGCCCTGTAAAATAGGAAAGGGATATGTGCATTTAGTAGCATTAAAAATAAATAAATAAAACTAGTACCCTGAAAGATGACATTTCCACACTGTTCTTCACAGTATGAAGTGGAATTAGTCCAAGTTTATCTCTTTTCCTGTCCTTTATGCTTATGCCTGTGAGCGCTATTATCTCCAATAAAGAAACATTGAGGTGCCTCAGCGAAACTGCTGAGGCTGTCTGCCATCCTTACTAATTAACACAGCAGGCAAGAAAACACACTGAACAAGAAAATGAGAACAGGCAGGAAGATGCCATTACCATGTAATATAGTCTTCTCCTCTCCAGGTTTATCATCTTCTAGTTTTCCTCTCTTCTGCCTCTTAGCTGTTATTTCATCCAACTCTTTCTGTTCTTCCTGGAAAAATAAAACATGATCTTTCTCAAATTCAGCATTCAGAATCACAAAATCCAGTAAAAAACATTAAGTACTACTGTTTACTTATTATTAAGAACACATTTATTTGCTAAATGAGATTAGAAATATTCTAAGCAGCAATAAAGAGAATACACATTAATCAAAACCAGAATAGTTTGAAAAGCTATATACACTGAAAGAATTAAATATAACCTTTTTATTCATAGACCACAGCTAAACATCACTGACTGAATAAGAAGGATGTTCAGTGGTTGGAGAGCTGGGGATATGTGTGTGTTATTTTTTGTTGTTGCTGTTTTTTTCTTTTTTAAAAAAGTTTTACTTTCAGTCATTTTCAAACTACTTCCATTTATAAACATCTTTTAATCAGACTCTACACACAGATACAATTAATTTCATTTCCAATCAGTCTTGCAAATAATCGAATGCAGACTATTTGGAATACCTTATTCAGACATACCACCTGAAGTTTCTATCACCCTGAAGCATAACTTGGACAAACTACTCATGCAGCTTGATCTCTGTTAAAACCACTGCAACATACTTACAATTTGTATCTATTGTGTTGAAGTAGTACTTACTTCTGATGGTTTGGCTACTTCTTTTTCATCAATATACTTTGCCCATGGTCCCAGAAAACCATCAATATTAGATGCATCATTCTCCTTGAATTTCTTCCTTTTTTCAATTTTCCTTTGTCCTGTTTCAAACACTGTTAAACCTGAAGAAGGAAACAATACACTGGCTAGCTGCTAACTCTGAATACAACATCACAGGTCACACCATAGTCAGTTTAAAAGAAAAAAAACAAACACACACACACATCACCATCACTCCTTCCAATACACACAGCAAAATGGAAAAAAACATTTGAGCAAAATTGGTCAAAGCATTGCTAACTTCTCTAGCTATGAACACTGCTAATTATGTACAGTAACAGAGGAACCACTTAAACTGTGTGTCATGATTTGTTTTTTAACCATTCAGGTACCCATGCATTTTTAACAAGTCTGCAGACTGTATGAATACCTCAATTTTTGTACTTTAAACAGGGCAGTGCTTGCAAATAGAGTCCTAGCAATTGGCTTCTGATCCCACTCACCCCTCTCAGTTTCCAAAAAAAAAACCCCCAAAAAACAAAATAGAACAAGTCTTCCAAAATGCCAACCACAACTGCGTATTTTAATTTAGTAAAAATCTATAGAATCATAAAATGATTTTGGTTGGAAGGGACCTTTAAAGGTCAACAAGTCCAACCCCCTTGCAATAAGCAGAGACATTTTCAACTAGATCGGGTTGCTCAGAGCCCCATCCAACCCAGCCTTGAATGTTTCCAGGGACGTGGCATCTACCTCTCTGGGCAACCTGTTCCAGTGTTTTAGCACCCTCACAGTAAAAAATTTCTTCCTTATATCTAGTTTGAATCCACGCTCTTTTAGATTAAAACCATTGCCCTTTGTCCTGTTGCTACAGGTCCTATTAAAAAGTCTGTCCCTATTGACATGGTCATCTACCTCCAACCACTATCTTGTTCTTTCATATGAATGCTAGTTTTTCACTAATGCTGTGCCCTCAGATTTTCATCTGTCAAAACCACTAAACAATATAGACATGAGAGGAAAAAAATTAAAAGACATTATAGTAATGACTTAAAAGTTTTTCAAGAGATTGTATATACAATTATGAGCAATTTTCAATGTTTTTCTACAGCATCAGGAATGCTCATCTAGTGCAAAGCAACCAAAAAGCTTTGTATAAAGGGAAAACGGGCAATGTAAAAATTAAAGCAATGATCATATGAAGGAAACATACATTAATCAAGAGTCTTCTTAAAATAAATTATTAAAATTCCATTATGAAAAGATTGGTTTTTTATTTTTGAAATTATTTAAATCTTGGCCATTTCTGTCTAATGTCTGTAGCTGCTATACTGAAATAAGTCTATTTTCTTTATCTTACTTTGGAAGGAAAGAATGAAATAACCTTGGATATATTCAGTGGAAGAGGACACATAAATAAAAAACCTTCGTATACACCTTTGTATGTGAACAAGATACTAGGAAAAGACATGTAAGGGAAAGCATAACCATAAAGTTTACACAGCTACAATCTTCAAATGCAAACAAGTCAGTTTGAGTGTTAAATATCTTGTATCAAAGTATTAATTACAATCCCATGCCTCTGGTGGTCAATCCTCCCAGTGGCCAGATATGCCTTTAACATCTGGCAGCCTTCCAATGGTTTTTCTTTTCCAAATAATCCGAACATCTTAACTCTGCTAAACAGAGATAACATGCAATTCCCAACTGGAGTGCTAGAGGTTGTATACAGAGTGATCAGTTTGCTACTAAGTAGTACAGTTAAGGTGATTAGCCCAGCATATAGGTATCTTGAAGCAGACCTGATAATTTTAGGTAAAACAGAATTGAAGTGGACCAAAAAGCTGTTTCAAATATACATATGAATTCTATAAATGCAATGGCACGTGCTAGGTTCCAACTGCAAATCCTAACCTGAAATTTGACACAGTAGCCTGAAATATTTGCTACTTCAAGAAAACAAAGCACTCCAATATCTCTCGTCCCTCTTCACATTACAATTGCAACACATCTTTCTTTATTGTGTCTTTGGCCACAGGTAAGTCTCTCATAATTCCTTCCTTTGCCAATACCTATTCAATTTCTTAGTAAAGAAGAAATGGAAACAGTTATCAGTTACGAGTCATTATATGAGATTCTGAACTAATTACCTTGGTTTTTTTCAGCTTCTTCTACAGAACCAATATATTTGGTAGCAACTTCAGGGTTATCTATAGAAGGATCTAATGCATAACCTAGAATAAAAGGATAAATTAAATACTGTTAAGTCAAGCTTTTTAGTTTTGTACAACTTTTGTTACTTCGTGCCCCCCCTCCCCATCAAATTTTTTCCCGTTGGCTTTCAAGAAGCTAAGGATGAGGAAGGTTTAATACTTTGAAATCCCATCCACTTTTCACTTGGCCTGAGTATTAAGATTACTACCAAGCATTACCATGAGGCCTTTGAGTATGCATTGTTGCCAGAATGCTTAAATTTGCACAAGATATAGAAGGAAATAATTACAAGAGAAAAATGTCAACATAAGATCCATTGGGAGGGTTGTCACAGGAAGCAACGTCACAGAATCTTTCTGGTGGGAAGGGACCTCAGGAGGCCCCTGGCCCAATACCCTGCTCCAAGTGAGGTCAACACTGATTTCAGACCAGTTTGCTGAAAAGCAAACACCAGATTTTGAAATGCCACAGCAACTTCTTCTTGTTGTACCATGGCATAAGGAAAAGACTGGCTCAAAATCTTATGGTAGTGACAAGTGATTTTAAACAGATGCTGCTCTAGTCGAGGCCACTGTTCCTTGGTTTGTGAAGCCAGAAAGTCACACCGAAACCAGCCTGTTGCTGCTACACACAGAGCCCCCTGAGTACAGCAGCAGCCTCTGGCGCTGCAGCCCCCGGCCCTGCCCACCACCTCCACCGGGTCACAGGGCTGGCGGCAGCTGGAAGGAAGAGGACGGAGATGGGGAAAAAATTAAAGCAAATGAAGGTTACTATAGCTTTGTGCATATTCTGTCTCCCCCAACAGAAAGTATTTCATCCTCCTCCTGCCAGAGTTGGGAACGGTTGTTCCTTTGACTTGAAAGCACTTGCTTTGACCAGCATGGCTGATATCAGAGGTAGCAGCAACGACCTTTAATTTTTAAAAGAATTAATTAATCACATATTCATTTGCTGATTTCAGATATTGAACCTCATTAATTATAAAAATACAAACTAAAACAACAAAATCTGCTGCAATTACTCTTATAAATAATTTATAAAATGTACCACCATTTAATAGATATCCAGGATATTTACGATTTCTGATATTGAGGTTCTCATTTTAATATGCATATCTTACAGTTTTTCTCCATTTCTCCTGAAATGGATAGCATGATCTTATGAGAACAAGATAGATACATAAATTCATCTAATTTCCAAGGAACAGGTGCACTAAACAGTTACTGACCAACATGGCTTTTTTTTGGAAAAGACTGCACCCTGGTGGACATATCACCAATTTTTATTAAATATTACTCAAGTGACAAAAAGTCCCTTGAGGACCCAATGATAATTTCTCCGTATCAGGAAAGAAGAAAAAAAAATAATAAACAAAATGCAGCAATGAAGATATTAAACCACCAGTAAAAGTAATCACACACACAAAAATCAAATAAATCCTACCGGATACAATGTACTACTTATATTTTTGTTGATTCACAGACACAACCATGTAGGCATCACCTCGTCCATGCCAGAGACCAATGGCTCATAGAAGCACTTGGGTGCATACAAGCTGAGAACCTACCAACACTATCCCATTAGCCATAGGAAATCATCTCCTCAAGTATTTCTCAGAAAGACTACTGTCCTAGATGATCCAGTTCATAAAAAGATGCTTGGAAAAAAAAAAAAATATTTTTGCAATTTCTAGAAGAGCCATTACAAGGACACAGCAAGGGTTCCCATACAAATGGAGCAATCCACCTGCCGATCAGCTCTGGAGCTGCAAACCTGGTAAGAGCCAGTCATGGAACAACATTCGCCCAGATGTTCCATGAATACGATACAGGGAGAGAACTATGTACCAATGCCCTCTTATGAAATACAAATTTCCACTATACCTAAACCAAAGGACAAAAAAATTATTCTAGACTACTATTAGGATTCACTTCCGTGGATAACCAAATAGAGCAGACACTGCAGTTAGACTTTCGCTAATTCAACTGCCTGCTTTTACTAAGCCACTATTTCAATGAGTTCTCTTCCAAGCTATAAGGTTTCTGTTAACAGCAGAGAGATTATTACTTTGGATTTATGTCAAAAATCAATACAGTGGTATACTTGTCCTCCAACTGTATTGAGACAGCCTCTGGGACTCTATTTGCTTAGTACTTGTAAAAGAGGGGCAGTATTCTAATGAATAGGGCCCCTGGGCCAAGCACAGCTTCCCGTGGAAGTGGAGACTTCTTATAGCTGGGTTGAATTTGGTCCAGCATCAGTCTCATAGAAACGCTCTGAACAATTTCTACTTTCTAGTGGGTATGTGAAAGAGAATCTTTTCTTTCTGGCTGGGACTCCTAAACGCAGCTGCAAAAGACAGCTTGCTTTTATCCTACTCAGCTGGTATGCCATATAACGTGCCCTGACTTCTACATCTCCTTCAGTTTTATTTAGGAGGTAGAAATTTCATGCCATATTTTAGCAAGGAAAGGTACAACTCCAGCTATATCCATAATTTCAGTACACCTGAAAATAGTTGGTTAAGTAATCAGACTTTGATGCACACTCCAGAAAGACAGCTAATTAAAATATGTTTACACTGCACTGTGCAATGCAGCATACAGAGACCCAAGGTAGCTCAGGTATGTGGAAAAATACAGCTGGACTAATCCATTCTGACTGCACTGGCCTCTCTGCAGAATCAAAGTAATCAGAGAATAAAGCGCCTACAACTGTGAGAGGTAATAGTGACTGCAGGTGTTGCCTGTAACATGAGCAGTTGAAAAAAATCGTGTTATTTCCAAGTCAGAGTAATTTTAAGCTCTTAAAATACCAGTCTTTCTGATGAAGTAATCCCGTTACAACCAAGTTACTGAATACTCATAAAGAGCTTTGAGATTCATGGACAGAAGCCTGTTTCTTATTAAAAAGGACATTAATAACTTGTGAAGGAGACATTTTAAAATACTAAATGCTGCATGAATGAAGCAGTCCACTTCTAGAATGAGTACTGACGCCAAAATAGCTATGAAATTATTTTTCCACCATATTCATGAATAGTTTGTGTGCAGCATGTAAAAAATCATATGTAATTCTGCTTCACACTGAAAATAGTACTCAAAAGGGAATTTTCAAGTAAAGAGACTGCTTCTACTGAGGGTAGAGATACAGAAGAACAAACAAGTGCTTGTATTTTAGGACTACTTAGTCTTTTTAGCCATGCACCAAGGACCACACTGGAAAAATAATGCTAGTTAAGCTTTTGGACATTTATGTCATAATGGCTTGTAAAGAAAAATTTGTTCTTCTAGAGAGAAAGCATTCTCTTTAATAGTTGAAGTTATATAAGAATATTGCCTTACATCAATGGATTCAAAACAGGGTAATTACCTATGGCTGCAGATGCAAAACTGTTTATACAAATACAATTAGAAAAAGGTCAAACACTCACAGAGTAATTATTAATGGCTTTCCATCAAACAGAGAGGATCTTATGCGAGATTGTAAAATGGCCTGCCTGGACTATTTTATTCAATATTTTTATGGATTATGCCATCAGAAAAGGATCACATACGTGTAAAACCTGCAGCTGACACCAAAAGACAAGTGTGAAATATTTCACTTCAGCAAAGACATGCTGAATGACAAATACAACAAAAAAGAAAAAAAAAAAAGAAAATAACTGATTATGTACAGGGGAAAAGAAAATACAGGCTGCAAGGGTAGTGGTGTTGATACACATAAGTCTAGCTGACACCAATGAAGAAAAAAAAAAGAAATCTGAGATTTATGGCAAAGGAAAAGCTATATAAAATATGGAACAGCACTCACAAGGTCTAATCTAGATTGGTGTGTCCAATTTTAAGCAATGTATTTTAAAGAAAAATTTAGACAAAAATTGAGAGTAACAAGAAAGGTAAAATGTTGGGGGTGGTGGAAAGGCCTAGAAAAGATTGAAGAAACTTGCTTGTCAGCCTAAAGAGACATGAAGGACAGAAGGTGAAAAATTGATGGACTCAAAGGTAGTTTCAGTATGTGAAACATTAAAGACAACCATGATCTATGGGTTGACAGGGCCACTGAAGGGAATATGAGAAATAGTTTAAATTAGCAGCACAGAAGATTCAGCGTGGTATCAATAAAATCTCAACTATTACACTCATGAAAAACCTAGAACTACAATAATCACATAGATTTTAAAACCACGCAAAGTAGTGTAAAAATAGGAATGATCTTGAAACAATTCTGACTCAAAACATCTGACTAGATCACTGGTTTCAAGCTGTTGTCTGTGGATACAGGACCTCAGATGACTTCTCCCTGACACTTTCTGGGGAGTCTGAAAAACATGAGAAGCAGGTTTACATTCACAATAACAAGCGTTCACAACCTGTTGGGGGTCAGGGATGAAATGACAGCTGAAGAATCCAGTGTCTAAGGAAAAACAAAAAAACAAAAAAACAAAAAAAAACACAAGGATGACTAGAGCAGTCTAAGATTCAGCTTTCCCATTTGTGTTTTATATGCCTGAACTATAGTGCTTTGTATCCAAAGGAATAAAGACAGCAGCAGCAATCTGACTACTTCCACATGCTGGTATCAGAGAGGCATTCTTGATAAAGAAGCTGAGTTCTATTGATTGGTCCAAGATCTGAGGTTTGTATTTAGCATGCTCTTCCTCAGTTTCCCACAGACTGAGTGACAGCACAAAAGCGACTCAATTAAGTTGCGGTATTTTTGGCTTTGTATAAAATACATTCTGGAAGGGCAGCTCATTCTCAAGAGATTGTTTACTGCAAAGAGAAGCTACAGATCTTAATCCTAACGTAGAAAACATCCCCAGTGCCTCTGTCAGCTTCACCTCTCCAAATTCCTAGAAAAAAGGGAACCTTACTGAGATGGGTAGGTCTCATCTAGATTTAAAAGATTGTTGGTACTAAGAAGGTTCAAAGAATGCTTTTTGATGAAATAGTTGGGGATAGCCATTAGTTAAAGAGAAATAAGCAATTTGGAGTGACACAACCTTAAAAAAAGCCAT